AAAATTGGATGATTAATTCAATATGTTACGTACAATTAATTATAAAGAAACTGCATATAACACATTAAATTAAATATGAAATTTTGAAGTAGAAAAACTGAAATAGTCGTGTCTTGTAAAACATACTCCAATAACCTCTAAAACATAAACATAATGTTTGAATATTGAATTCTCTGAATTTGAGGGAAACATCAACCACAACATATGAAATGCAAACCAGATTTAGATCTCATGCTTTTAGCCTTACAAGAGACAAAATCCAAGTCCATCCAAATCATAGATGATCCAACACTGCAAGTCACACGTCAGTCATGAGTTCTTCTGCTGCTCAGATTCTTGATTGATTGCTTCAGTCTTCATACACAAGTCACATCACAACTACAATAAATCATAACTAACCCTTGCGCCACCAAAAAGTGTAAATGCATATACTTATAAAAGCATACCGCGGTGAGATGAGCGGCTCTCGATGTTCCTGCTGGGCTCGGCTTAGTCAAATACACAATACAGATGAACTTCAGTAATTAACACTTGAATATAATAAAAACCCAAGAGCTTCCTAGATCTTTCCTGATGCAGAGTTTGACGCAGTCGGAGCATCTGAAGCCCGTGGTCTCAGGACTAATGAGAGCGTGTTTGGCCAATCACAGAGAGATGTCCGGTGACGGGGAGACTGGCTGGGGACTGTGGTTTGTGGCTATCGCCCGGCCATTGCTTAAACATTCATACTGACTGTCAGCAAAAAAGCTGATGCCCGCTGGGCTTGAAATGGAAAACAAAGAAAAATCATTGCATTTGTGCATGTGTTAATACATCTTTGTATAAGCGTCTGCAATAGCCTGACCGTAGACGTCATATTTCATTTAATTTGAATAAAACGAGGCTGAGAGAGAAATACTGTTCTGTGTTATGGCATACCAAGTTTTCTGAAGTGTTTTGGATATGCATAAGGCATCTAGTGTTATTTTAGTATCACTGAGATACTAAAGGTTTTATTAATATTTTGAATTAGTTTGTATCTTTATATTTTTAGTTTTCATTTAGATTTTAGTTTTAGTCTTTTTGTGAGTTTTAGTCATTTTTATTTTTAAAAACAATGTGTATATATTTTTATTTCATTTTTAGTTATTTTAGTATTTTAGTAAAAACGTAATATATATGTATATGTATAATTTTTTGTATATATATTTTATAATTATTTCAGTTAAAGTTTATTTTATTTCAAGTAAAAAAAAAAGTTTTTAGTTTTAGTTAACAATATTAACTCAGAAATCGAAACACTGATCTGAAAAACTGCAATGAAACATCAAAAAACTGTATTTTTAATATCCAAAGAACTATATCATTTTTTAACCATGTAAGAACCATATAAATGTACTGTAGTTTTGTTTTTTGTTTTAAAAAATGTTTATAAACTTTTCCCTCTATTTTTAGTTATTTTAGTATTAAATAAATGTAAACTAAAAATTAGAAATGTTGCCTTGTCAACTAGCTGAAATAAAATAATTTGAAGTTAAATATTTTATTTCAGTTTTTAGTGTTAATTAACAACATGAACTCTGTGCTTTATAGAAATCAAAACACTGACCTGAAAAACCTGTAATGAAATATCAAAAACTATAATCTTAATCTCCAAAGAACTAAATGTAACCAAATTAGGAACCCTAAAGATCTAAAATGTTTTTTAAGTTTTAGTTAACTTATAATAACCCTGCTTCAGACTAAGGTTTATTGCGTTTCCTGAACGGTGCAATGGAACAATAGAATTATGAGAAGTTCAGGTCATTTCTGACATGTTTCCGTAATCAGACGTTCCAAACGATCTGACCTGTGTTCATTTCCTGTCGTATTTTCAACAAAAGCTGAAAGAATGCTGAGAATGTGTGTCTGATTTGTTTTAGATTAGAGCACACAGACACAAGCTTGAACATCTGAAAGCTCGGCTTCACGTGTCTCTCATTCAGGCAACTTCATGTCTACAGATGAAATGAGTTTAGTCTGTCCTCTAATGCTAAATTTAAAGGAAATGACCCCAAAACTTGAGCTAAAGTCATGTAAATGTTTTTATGATGTGTAATGGTTCTCAGTCCGTTACCTTGACTGTCTGCTTCTTGGCACCTTCATCCTCGTCGGCCTCCTCGTGTTCCCTGACGCCCTGCGTGAGGTTCGTGTAGTTGGCCAGTTTGCTGAGAAGTGAAGATACCATGGGATTGCTGTCCATCTCCTCCTGAAAGGGTAAAGGTCATGCATTTGATCAAAAACTGCAAACCAGCAAACACAAACGACTCGTTTCAAACCTCTACAATGTCTCGAAGAGTAAAAATAAATGTAGGCACCAAAATCAAAGAACGCAATAACAGCTCTGTCTGTCCGAAATCATGAAATGATACAAAAATAAACGTAATGACCCATGAATTACTTTATTTGTGGCCATAAACATGAAACGAGAATGTGGAAAACAGAGTGGAGAAAAGCCATGATGTCAAATACAGGCTTGAAAAGAACTTGAATGCGATAATAAGTAATCTCACACAACTTATTAAAAGCACATTTCGGTCATATTTCACCCTAAAATCAAAAGAATGAAAAACTATATAATTTTTTTGCATAAAGAATAGCATGCCTTTTTTTAGCTATTAATATTTTATATTTTATATAATATTTTTTAATATAATGACATTATTTTAAGTGTTATTTTACCAAAATTCTGGTTATTGTAATGATTAATCAAACAAATAAATAAATAAATAAATGCTTATATTTTGCTTAATAAAAAATTATGACAGTCTTTTTTTTGTTATTAATATTTTTGCATTATTTCAGTTCATTTTCCACCAAAATTAACATTACTGTAATACAAATAATATTAGTTCTATTATTATTATTATTATTATTATATTTAAATTGTAATGTATACGTCAAAGTGGTATTTATTGTACTATACTATTCAAAAATATTACTGAATCAGTAATTAGTGTTTTAATTAGTAAATATTAACTAGTATTTTAATTAGTATTAAAAATGAGAGAATCTAATAAAACAAAAAACACAAAACTAAACCATCAAGATGGATTACTAAAATGAAAATTTGAGGATAAATGTGCAAAATTGTCATGAAAAAAAAATGCAAAGAAAATCATCAGTAAATAATCCTGAAATAAACTTAAGCAAAATACAATTTCTTATTTTAAAAATAAGTTTTAATCGTAATATTTTTTTCATGTTGTTAGTCAAAAATATGCATATTGATAGTAAAAAAAGTTTAAAGACAGTACCTCAAAAAGTGCCATGTTTTTCCCATCATATAGATTTCCCTTATTATCATCTGTGTTATTGATGAAGGGGCTGCTTTCCCTTGGGTTTCCATCACCTGCATTAGACAGACAGATGGAGAGAGCAACAGAACATGAGCGAGAGAGAGAAAAGACATGATTACAGCTGACTGCAGGAGATGTGCCACTAAAATGCTGTTTGCTTGTGAAGAGAGAGGTGTTTATGGTCTGTTATGTGTGCTCTCTTGGGTAAATTAGGAAAAAGCAGACTTCCTATCCATCGCCGCAGGTCAGACGAAATGATTTTCCTATAATTAGAGCATGATGGTGATCAATGTCCTCCGGTTCACTGGTCAAACTCTGCGATGCTCAGAGAATCTGATAGCATATGGTGTCCTGTCACTAAAGCACTTATAAAACCTAAACGTATAGCTGAAAACACGCACTTACTCAGAGGTGGACGGTGCACGTTCACTGCTCCGCCTGAGTTGTGCTTATATATAGATGTTAAACTGCAGTGATTTAAATAATCATCTGGACTGGGCTCTGTCACTATAGGATTTATTTTCAGATTACATCGCTTTATTCATTTCCTCAGACCTCTCATTTCAACGCAGCATATAATTCAGATTCAGAACGACGCACTGTTCACAAGATATCGTTTCTTAAGATTAATCTTTTGTCACGCCGCAGATGCTGAGTTAAATATGTTTGAACTGTTTAACTTTGTAAACAGCAAAGTCCAAGAGTATGTTTAATGGTAAACTTGGTAAAAAAAAAGCTTTTGGTAACTACAAATGCGACTGTTTTCCAGCTCAAAGATCCATCAAAATCTGTGCATGTTGTCTAATAAGCCTGGCATTGTATGTTATGATTATTGTTGGCTTGCTTCTCTGATCTTTTTGGATAAAAGCATCAGCAAAACGCATAAATGTAAATGTATGATCATGCAATGAAACCACAAGATGCTCTAATATGCATACGAGTCATTTTTCATACCGCCTGAAACAATAGTGCATTTGCAAACTGGTTTGAAACGAGTTCAAACTGTTTGGTGCACACATTTATGCAATAATTGCAAGGAGGAAAAGTATTCAAAGTGATACTGAAGTCACAGCTCACTCTAAATACATGAATGCATGATATCTACACAAACGCATCAGACAGACATTTTTATTTAAAGCACCTTTACATATGCATTCAGCATTGACATTTAATCAGTAAGTGTGCTTCACTGGAATTGAAACCCTGGTGTTTTAGCATCATGTTTCTACCGGTTGAGCCACAATCTCCAGTTCTACACCTCCACCAGAACAAAACATGCTGGCTAAGATGGTAAGAACCCAGTTGAGGTGTTTAACTATGATAACTATGCAGAATCAAAGCTACTATAAACAGATGAAACATAAAGTGGTCAGTTGCTAGTATTTGACAGAAATCTCTTCTGAACTTTTGTAAATTGTGAAGTGTTTATCTATTCACCCTTTGAATGGTGTAGCTTTGGACTATCAGTATTATATTCGGTTCACACCCACATATGCATCTATGACTACAGACACTTGATACAGTAATGCTGAATCTCACGAGACGTGATCCACTTTCATCAAAATGGCCTAGATTACAGATATGCTTATATCACTGCAGATGTCACAGCCCTTCATTCAACTGTTCAAACGCTGCACGATGCACTCCCTTCATCCAGAGATACACGCATGGAGAATGAATGAGTGAGCAAAACAGAAGCGATGAATAAATGGATGGACATTTGGCTCCAGGGGCAAAAAAATGCTAGCTGTTTTTTAATCGGTATATTTGTGTGATTTTCCAGGGAACAAAATAAATCAATAAATAAAAACCTTCAACAAAAATGATTTGCATCCTTAAAGCAAGTTACAAAAAACATATAAATAAAATGCATAAAAAGTATGCAAATTTTGTTTAAAGAACAATCAATATACATTGTCTAAAATATGTAAAAAAAAAAAAAAAAAAAACTATTTCGCTTCTCTTCCAAAGGATGTGCAGATATTTTTACTGGAAAACAAGACAAAAAATACTATTAAGAAAAGTTCTTTTTTGCCATATCTGCTGAGGACATGTTGCTGAAGATTTGCATGATCACAAGAAAAGAAATTTTTTTTTAATTCTTGTTAACCATCTAAACAACGCTGCATAAGCTGGAAAACATGCCATGCCAAGCCGCCATAAACTCTACTGCAACTGGAAACTCAGGGAGGTTTTATAGTTCCATTACAATCAGTCTCCGGTAAAACCATGGAAGAACCAGACGGCTCTGATGGTACCTACAAGATCATGGAGTTCATCCGATCAGCAGCGCTGCACTGCATGTGCTTGGCTTAAGACCACTCTTCTTCCAGACATGACAGAGGAGGCGCTTTAGCCCAGTGTTCACAAACACTCTAACTGCAGACATCATAGAAGCCAAAGATGAATATAGCAATAATCTCAGCGAGAATTCAGCCCCCTTAACTACGAGACTAAACCGGATGCTGGTGGTGACAACAATGATGGATTATCAATTGTTCCTAATTGCAAGTGACAACACCATAGACGGCCAGAAGCATGCCTTTAATACCACACAACACTTATTTACTGGAGTAAGTTGTTCTGCAGCAGTTGACACATGATTTGAGGAAACGTTCATCTCGCTTGTTAATTTAACACATTATCAGCAGCACCATTTTCACCTGCTGGATATAAAACCGTTGAAAAAAAATCCTGAGGGGATCTGAGTCACATTTTATATTTACATAATTGAAAAATAAAATTAAATAAAAACTGAATAAATAAATAAAATATAGAACAAAATAAATGAAACAAAATACAAAATAAAAATAAACTAAAACAATTAAATAAAATACAATACAAAACATGATTCAACTAAATACATTTAAGTGAAATAAAATAAAATAAATAAATAAGAAATAAAACAATGAAAAAACTCAAATAAAATAACGGTATAAAACAAACCAAAATAAGAAGTAAAACTGAATAGAATAAAACAAAATAAAGTCAAATAAAATAAAAAAACTGAATAAAATAAGAAATAAAACAGAATGAAAAATTAGAAATAAAATAAAATAGAGCATAAAACAAAAACAAAATAAGTAAAATGTCACATAAAATAAAAAACAGAACAAAATGAGTAGAATATGAAATAGAATCAACATTTTAAAATAAAATAAAACACCTGCATTAACCGCTCATAATAACCCACCAGTGCAAACCAACACAGCAGAGTCTCACGTCTTCTCAGGGCAACGCTGACGTGGATCTGAGCTGACCGTCAAGCCCTTGAGTTCATCAGACCTTCGATACAGACTCATTTAGATGACACAGCTGAGGATTTCTGTATTTAACATCAGAACAGACAACAGCTCCACAGAAAACCGCTCCATTTTATGGTCCAGTGGACCTGACATTCAGCGCAGGGAGGCCATGCTGATACACAGGTATGCAAACACACCTTTGATTCACCCTTAATCCACACATTAACAATTCATGTTCATTGTTTCCTTTTCAGGCACATAACAGTTGGAGTTTGCAACAATAAAACTAAGAACCTTCTTGATGACTTCCTTTTACAATAGACGCACGAAACAATTGTCACAAGAAAGGTTGAAATTAACATGTCAGGTTGAGCAGGGCATTAACAGGTACCGTGAATCACAGTCTCTATGGTAATAAATGGCCACATACTCTATTTATATCGGCTAAGCTCTCTGTCGTTCTGTTCTGTAAGCGGCCTACGAGAGCTTGTTGTACACCGGCTGACTGTGCAAGAGACGCTGGCAGAAAGAGTCACTCCAATCCCGTTATCCAACACGGATGTCAAGCAATTAGAAGGCCCAAAGTCTGACAAAGTAAATAAACGTCTAAAACTGATGATAGTAATGCTTCCGCTCTCTGGCCACAGCCTTTAAAATGACTCTCAAGCTCAGTTCACAAGATTCAGACTGTCAAAAAGAATGAATGAATCAATGAATCAATGAATCAATGAATTAATGAGCGAGCAAAACAGAAAGTAGAAATGAATCGATGAATAAACGGATGGACATTTGGCTCCAGGTAGATGAAAAACTGTAGATGTTTTCTTTGTTGAGAGATTCTTTTGTATGGTTATCCAGCAATAAATAAATAAAAAGATTAACACCCCTAAAACAAGGTAAAGTTACTAAATTATATAAATATATAAATTATTTTCATACTCAGTTGATTTTGAACCTTAAAAAAGTCACTTAAAGTCAGCTTAGAAAAGATTATTTTCTGACTTACTCACATTAAAACACCAAACTATCTTATATTTGAGAAGTTCCAGAAATGTATTAAACTTTATAATTTATATTCTGTTTTGCAACATTTATACCCAAAATATACTGTTTCAGTTGCCTGAGAAGATCCACAAAGTAACTTTAACGTCTGCTAAAAAAAAAACTAGCTTAAAGCAACTTGTCACGACTTCAAATGATCACTTTTAAGTGAGCTTAGAGGATAAGTTGTGGTCAAATTCTGAATGGCAACATTAAAATATCTTATTCTAGCTGATTATGCAACTAATCAACCCCTTCAAAATATTCTGATCATCAACATTTAAATAGCAAAATATCTTCCAGAAAGGTCAAACAACTTCTAAGGTAGTTTGCATGTATTAAAACTTAAGTAAGTGTTTAAAAAGACACTTTAAAAAATCACCAAAATATCTAATTCTGGATAAACTGCAAAGTTCCAGAACAGCAAATTAACATCTACTAAAGTAAAAGCAAAGACTAGCTCAATGCAACTAGTGAAATATTCAGAACATCGCTTAAAGTCTGTTTAGACAGGCTTATACTCTGGCTGACAACATTAAAATAGAAAACGATCTCATTCTAGATGATTGGGAAATTGCAGAACAGCAATTTCACATCTATTAATGTATGTACTCAATGCAATTAGCCGCATTCTTCAAAACGTCACTTAAAGTCGGTTTAAAGAGCTTATGCTCTGGTTGACAACATTAAAATGGAAAAATATCTAGGTTATATTCTGGTTGATGACATTAAAATGCCAAAATATCTCATTCTAGCTATAATTATGA